TAAAAGTCCCTCTAATTTTACCTAATAAAAGTGAAGGGAATTAAGAATGCTGATATTCGCTGCTCTGACTTCATAAAAATTGGTCTCTTTCAATTTTCTTTTCTCTGCTTCTTTTTCTTGATGTAAAACTGGATTCTGTTAAATTAGTCATAGTGAAAAAATATTTACATGCTTTTCTAGCTGCATTCATTTTGGATACGGCTGAACAAAAATATACCTGAGTACCACATGTACTCATCCAAATAAAACTGTTTCTAGATTCCTTAGTAAAATATCTTTTAATCCTGTGGACACAAGGTCAAAAGCAACATTGCATTATTTGGTCTTACTTTCTACTTTTAGAAACAGGTAGCAGAAAAATGTAAGACATTTATTTTTTATTAGTGGAGTTACACATTCTCTGTAAGAACAAAGTATTAGGTAAGTAAGATAAGCAGAGGGAAAAGGGATAAAAATTATTGCACTAATGAGCATCTGTATAGAACTTTCTGATTTTTTCTGAATATCTTTGAATGCTTATTGTATTTGAGGCAAGTTGACATTTCAGAGATGATGCATCACCCATCTTGTAAACTCCATTTTGTATGCTAAAAGCATAAATCATTAACCAGAATGAGTTATTTTGCAGCTGACATTCTCACTTGGCTGCATTTAAGGACCAGTGTGTGCTGTCCGTTGAATTTATGAAAGATTAGCTCAATGCTTTCAGATTTTCTTAGAGTACTTATTATACTACAAAACCTCATGAATCTATAAAAACTGAAAAATCTCTGTGTTGTTTTTTTTTGTTTGTTTGTTTTGGGGGTCTTTGGTTTTTTGGTTTTTTTTTTTTTTGGGTTTTTTTTTGGGTTTTTTTTGGGGGGGGTTGTAGGGTTTTGGTTTATTCTTTTTTAAATGGACTGGAGCTCAGGAATACAGTATTTGCTATTACAGGAGAAAAAAAGTATTTTTACTAGCCTGTTAAATTAAAACACATGGATTCCTAGAACATTATTTTATCTTACTAACCATGGACTTTTATTGCCTGTTTAAACATTTATGGAATAATTTTATTGTGAATTTAAAAGCTGAGCATAGAAAGCAAATATAAATGGGGCTATTCCTCCTTTTTCAGCTCCATTGAATAAAGTATGCCAGCTCTTATGAATTAACCCTTGACTCCATGGAGTGGAAGAGTTTGCCATGAGTTCTTCATGTGTGAAGCTCTCTTAGTAAGCTTCAGAGTAAAGCCAGCCTTTCTGGAAACACCTGCTTTACATCTTGAACATTTTCTTTTGCAGACAATTGTCTGCACTGCAAGCATGGCTTTCATACTCTTAGAATGCAACACTGAGTGTTTTGCCATAAAGAGACTTATTTTTGAACAAGGACATCCCCAACTGTATTGTCAAAGAAGAAAAGTGAGAGAAAAGATACTGAAGAAGCACCGTGCTGAACTGGTATTCTTTTCAATTGTCAGCTATTGGAAACAGGTTTCTAGTTATAGAACTCCCTCCTAAATGTACAAAAGAGGCAAGGATCTCTGTCAATTATCCTGATTTTAAGTGTCTGAAATTAAAAGTTGCATTGGCCCTTGAGCACATCAATGTGGTATCATGGTGGAAATGTAGTAGCTTACAAAGAGCTAAAGGCCAGAATGAAAAGGCCACAGCAGTAATGAGCAGTGCAATACCTACTGCTGCACAGCACTCAGTTGTGACTGTGACAGTCAACAAAGGAGAGCAGAAAGTTTAATTGAAATGAAAATAGCACAACTGGTTTAGATTACACCCAAAGAAGCCCAAGGCTGAAGGGGGATGAGCACAGTCAGAGCAAAAAGTAGTCAGAAAAATATTATATAATTAAAAGATAGTGGCTGCCCAAAAGTACAAATATAAACAGTTGAAATGATTCATGTGTATAAACATTTCATAGTTATATTTAGCAACAGCAGAGGATTTGATTAATTTAGGAAGAGAATTACGTGTTGGAGGGACCTGTGATGAAATTGTATGATGAAATTCTCTTACAGTTCTAAATTCATGACAGTTGAAGTTGCAAGTGTTTTTGCTGTTTTGATATTAATGAGAAATGACCTCTGTTTCATTCTTTACACTTATACAAATAAAGCAACTTCTCAAGTACTAAAGCAGTGATTACTGAACTTGGTTTGATGTAGTTCAATGAGTTCAACTTCTTCTCATATCTGGAGGATTGAAATTCATCCTTGACTGCAGTAATTTATTTTGGAGTACATCCAACTACTTAGCCATAAACTGTCTCAAAGGATCTCTAATCTGCTCCTGCTGCAGTGAATGTAGGGTTGATAATTAAAACTTCAGCTAGTAAAAGAGTTTAAACACAAAGTAACATTTTTTCAACAGAGAATAGAGTGCCTGTGTTGGAAGACAGATGTTCCCAATAGCTTACAGGTATTATCAAATGGTTGCTTGATATGGAAAACAGGAAAACTTTGAGTATGGATTAGAAATGGGGAGTTCCCCCTTCTCAGGGGTAAATACATAGTATTGCTATTGTTGCATGTACATTCACTAGTACTACTGCACTCACTATCACTATCATTACCAGCACTATAATTGACTATTACTATTTATCAGTATTATTATTTTTAGTAATACCCTACTCACTAAAGCTTTTGGTATCTCTTAAGATTCTTTAAAATGAAGATGGATTATGTTGTTTACCAATTTGTATGCTGTATTACCAGAAGAATACTTGATACCAAATATTTTGAACTGTGTTCAAAAGTTCATTGCCTCTTCACAATATTTAAGTATGCTTTTCTTCTTTTCTCTTTCTTTTCCTGCTTCTCAGAATATGATGAAATATTTGTCTGAGATTTTGAGAGTAAATGGAGTGTTATAGCTTGCAATATACATATAGCATTTAGGAAGAACATACATTAATTTCTTTGTGTCTTTTTTCTATGCTTTATTCCAATAAGGAAGCTAAGTAAAAATTTTCCCCCTCAAAGATCAGTCAAAGGATGCCATTAAAGAAGACATTCTAGTATGAAATATACTTTTAAAAAATTTTGAGTGTCTAAATACCAGAAATTTCACCTTTTACAGCTCCCAACAGCTATAACTATAGATATCCATTCTCCTGGAACTAGGTACTATTTATTAACCAAAAAACCCTCGTATTGAGAAAGTCATAGAAATTCTCATTAAATCCTGATCTATCAAAAAGAAAGTGCTGTGTGATGCGTTCAGCTTACACCACTCAATGTAATGTCTCAATGGTCTCAACCTATGAACAAAGAAAACAAAATAAAACCAGCTGCAGAGCTGTGGTTACCCGTGGCAGAGGCATCTACGTGGCTTGGTCTCTGGTAATATTGTACCACGTGCAAACATAGCTGTGGCCTGCAGCTGGCCCACAGGAATAGTCTGAATCCCATAGTCTGAATCCTCTAATGTTCTCACTTCTGCAGTGCCCTTGAGGGCCACTGAAGCATGGAGAGTCAGAAGGAGCTTTTGCAATTTTGTCTTGAAGGTAAGCATGCAGTACTTGCATCCCTGGCCTCTGACTGTGAATCAATGTGAAGCACTGTTTTGAATGAATTCAAGCTGCCTCCTGTCCAGCTATACCAAAGTAGCAAAGTCCTGCTGGACTGTCTGAACTCTATTTTTCCAGGAGCTAAAAAAAAAAAAAAAAAAAGAGCTGAAAAAGGGCAGTCAGGTTTTGTCCTTATAAAAATAAAAAGATAAAATTAAAAAAAAAAGTTTTCTCAACATTCTAAGCAACCTAATATTGGTATTAAACCCCTTTGTACTTAGTTTTCTAGCTGCATGAAACATTTTATGATTTTAAGCTCTGCTTCAAAAAAACTGTGATTTATAGGGGTTCATATCCAGGTCCATTTGTATTCCTCCTATATTGATGCTAATGGAAGCTGCAGGAAGGGACAGGTAGGTTAGAAATTTTTAATTTCTTCTGGGGAGAAAGTATGCTAGGATTTGCAAATCTTAATAATGCCTCTGCTGTGGCATTACAAGCATTGCTCTGTGCATATCTTGATCTTTCTTGGCACAGGCATCCTCTCAGAGGCATCCAGTGAGAACAGAGGTTTTTTTTGGCTGTCTGCAAAGCAGTAAAAGTCCATCACCATTTCAGTTTTGGATATATTTTGGGCTCATCTGTTGTCACAGAATGAAGTGCTTATTTGGCACTACTTTTAAGTTCCATCGGGTCCTAATTACATCAGGTCCTAATTACATCAGGTCCTTATTACTGTCAAGCTCTGATGCCTAAGAATAACATAAAAATAGAGCAAATGTTGATTTTAAGCATGCTTTATTTATTAGACCTATGCTTCAGTATTTGGATGTAAGAAAAAAAAAAAGGCACCAAAAGACTGACCACCTCTTGCTATGCAATAAATTGTGTCCCTGTGGTTAAGTATCCTGTCCACCTGCACTGTCTCTGCTGTTCTGTCTTGCATCCACTCCACAGTGGACTTAGTGTGATGCCCAGCACATGGGGTCATGATGTGATGGTGTGGCTGATATTTCACTTTACTGTTAGGAACTTTATGCACAGGAGGAACAGGCTCTTATGATGCCAGAATAATATGCACAACTCTTAGACCTGCTGTAGTTAACTTGTTCTGATATTGGTGATGTTTGCAATACAAATACCGTGCTCAGGCACTTTCTGTCTGGAGTGAAACCATGTGGCTGGAATGTGTTGAAAGCTCTTTTGAGCAAGCACTGTCTATTTTGAATTTGGCTAGTGTAAAGGGAGTAAGCTTAGGACTCAAAGGCATTACAAACCATGATGAAGAATGAGAAACTGAATGCAGTAGTGGGGAAGGACTGTCAAGCGGCATATAGAAAATTTTGTGACAATATGACACATTGGCTTTATGGCATCTTTGGCAAAAATGTTACAGTACAAAAAAGAACTCTCTAAAAGAGTTAACCTAATACAAATGATATGAGGGTATTCCACCATTATTATTATTATTTATTTCTTTTTATACTTGTAATAATTCAGGTGCTTTCCAGACAGAAAAGCTGAAGGCTCTGCCCCAAGGAGCTTACAATCTAAAGGTGGACAAGGAGAGAGATGTGGAGGAGAGAGGGTCTACAGAGCAGTCAAGAAGCCAAGATGGAAACTAACCAAACAAATATGATTTGAACACATTGTTGCAAAACTATACAAACTATTTTCCAATTATGACTCATATTTTCCATTTTGGTTTAACTGTATCTGCCATGACACAAACAGGTGTGGAGGAAGGAAGCTTTCCACATGTGACATCAGAGAGAGTAGCACATATGTAAAGTAGAGCTCGAAAACTCACCTTAAAGTATAGAGATGAGAGGGCTTTGCCTGCATTTCCAAGACACAGTTCAGTACCAGGACAATTTAGATCCAGAATGACATGGCTTTAGATCAGGCCCTACAGGTTTACATGGGATAGATTCTATCAGAAATGTAAATTCACTCTATGCATCTGGAAGTTCCTTAATACATCCTAATATGAACTATAAAATCTACCATGACAAGGCTGGAGAAGTTAAGAATGAAATAACAACATTTTTGTGGTTTATTCAGTGGGGGAAAGAATGGTGTTGAAAGCTGGGGGTAGTTATTCTTATGGCAGTTGTGAAATGTAATTCTTAATAATGTAGGACACCAGCCAACGATTAAAAAACCCCACAATGTTTAATTTTAAAAATACTGGTTTTAACTAAGACAGAAAGTCACTCATAAGTTATGAAAAATACTATTAGGTTTTCTTTATATATTTAGGTATCTATTATAAAACACCCAATCAGGTTCCCCCAAACTGCAAAATTGTCAAAGAACTCCCTTAAGGCGTACCTTCTAAAACTTCTCAACAAATTGCCATATTTATTCAAGTACTCATGGGAATCACTATATGCTTTTTTTATTCCTGAAGTATCTTTCCCTTAGCAAATCCAAGTGTATTGTAAAGGCAGAAGCAAATAAGCAGCTGAATATTAAAGTGCATAGGTTGTCCACATGAGGAAAAATAGATGGTTGAAGAAGCAGTAGCTGTGGTGATAAAGGATTCTTGGGGAATAATCCATCATCAATTTTGAGTAAGCCGCAGATATTTCTTTTCCATAAGAATCATTTCTACAGTCTTCAAAACTTGCAAATGCATTTCTAACAATGGTATCAGGACAGTCACACTCCTCTTGCTGTGAGGGAAAAGTTGTAATTAAATAATCAAATAGATCTATTTTTCATAATTTACAGGTATTCATATTCCTTCAATAAATAAAAGAATATAATTTATCTTCTGATTCTGTATAGATTTCGACACAAGTTTCTAGCAATTTAAACAAATTATTCTAATAGCTTGACATGAATTATGCTGGCAGGAGCCACATATGATTATTATGGTGCACAGAATCTTTAAGAACCTACAAAGTTAAATAAAAGCTTACAAGTCTCAAGCTACTTTTTATTTGCATAGAAAAATATTTATCATAGGAGTCAACTATCATATGAGAGAAATTCCATTTGTTGTAATTGAAAAAGATAGCTAAAAAGTTTCTGTGGGTTATTGCAACAGTACAAGAATACAAGATGCTTCCATTTATTAAAAAATGTAAAACAAATCGTGAAAGCTAAAGCAGGCTACAAAACAGAAGGTCCTCATATTTTCTTTCTCTTGACTACTATGTTACAAGATCATGTGCCACAGTTGAGTACTAGAAAGTGTAATTCTGCATTAGCTAATATAATTCTTAAAACATTCCCCCCCAAAAGCACTATGCAAAATATATATATTTGTAAATACTTCCTCCTGTAAGCATCACAACCTTGTTATCACATAGTCACCCTGAACAATTGTTTCCTGTTTCCCATCAGAGTCAATGCTAATGTCCAATGCCTTGTCCAGCTGATCTTGTGGAGTGGCAGGTTCTGAGTTCTGTAACTCCATTTTCTCTGTTTCTGAAGGACAAATACTGCCCCCTTCCTGTGAATCCAAAGACTCACTGGTATTTTGTGATTCATCTAACATGCATTTTTTGCCAGGATTTCGGAAGTTTAATTCACAGTTCATGATCAATTCTCCCTCTTCCAGTTCATCAGTTTTCTCACATTGTTCTTCTGCCTGTTGACGGGAAACTTCTTCAGAAACGGTGTATATTTTATTTGTACTCTGCCCCACAGAGTTTGTTTTTGATCGTCTGTGAAATAATCCAAAATTTTTTATGTCTGTTACAAAATTCACACGCTTTTGTTTCTCCTGAGTGGACTCTGACACCATCATTGCTGAGCCATTGCTTACATTATGTCCTTCAGAGGCAATATTGGCTGATCGTGGGTGAATCATCGTTGTTATGTCAAAAAGGCTGAAGGGTTTCTTCTTTCCTTTCGTGTTTCCTTCACTCTCACTATTTTCTTCATTTTCTGACAGAGAGGCAGTGTCTTTGCTCATCTTCCCAGTCTGCAAATTAGACAGCTTGCTTCCTTTCAACAAACCCAGGACTTCAAAGCGAAAACTGGAAATATCTTGTTTTAACTCCTAAAAATCAGGGAAAAAAAGATGAAATGTCAGAACATCAAAGCTAATTTGACTTTCCCTTTGAAATAAAAAGCAAAAAAAAAAAAGAGAAAAAAAGGGCTTATGTTGGGGTGAGTAATAAACTTTATTCTCTCGATGTTGGCATACCTGGCATCTTCAAGGTTGAAGATCTTGCTCTAGCAAGCAAGTTTTATGCTACCTGAATAACTGAGTGTAAGAAATATGCTTCACAGTTTTAAAATATCTTACTAAATTACTAAAACACCTATAAACATAAAAATAAACACATACCTTAAAATTTTCTTCTGTCAATCCTTCTTCAGTTTTGGCATCTCTTATCATTGCTGCAACATACCTTTTAACCAGATTTCTCATAACTTCCTAAAAAATATAAAGCATTATGTTAGCTTTATTAGTTAGTAAACCTGCACTCACAGACTCTGCTTGGGTTTTTTCATGTTTTATAAGCATGACAAAAACGATACAAACCTGTTTGAAAATTCGTTTTGCTATTTGATGGAAACTACTAATGTTTATTATCCTGAGGAGGGATATGTTGGGTTTGACCCAAGGTATGTTTCCTGCTGGTAATATCCAACCTGGCAGTGAGCAGTTGCTGATTCCTCATGAGGAGAGCAAGTTTGTTGTGGTTGTACAACTTTATTCATAGCTATTCTCTCTCAAGCCTCCTGAGCTGTGAGATACAGTAAGTCTCTGAACAAAAATGATAGTTCTAGGTTTAATTGGCTGTGACAGGATTTCTTATGCATTTTGAAGTAATATAAACTTTCAGCATTCAAAAATCTTCTGCCAATGAATTCCACAGTATGAAGTAAGATTCTATTTCGGGGTTTTATTTTTAACCTTCGGTCTGGTAGTTTCCATTGTTGTCTCCAAAGAATCCTAGAAATTATTTAGGTTGAAATAGATACCTGGAGGCTGTCTGAGTCATCTCAGGGCTATGCCCAGTCAACTGTTGAATACCTGCACGGGTGGAAATACTGCAACCTCCCTGAGCAACAATTTCCAGTTCTTTACTACCCTCACTGTGAAGATAATTCTCCTTACCTTACAGAATTTCTCTTCCTTCAACTTGTGTCCATTTTGTCTTTTGCATTGTATCTCAAAGAAAAATCTGGCTCCTTCTCTCTAACCACCCACTACGTTATTTAAGGCAGCAGTTATATTCCCCCTAACCTACTCCAGGCTGATATCTGAGCTGCTTATATGAGAGTCCTCTAACCATCTTGGTGCCCCCTTGCTGGTTCCCTTCCAGTTTGCTAACATCTCTCTTATAGTGTGGGGCCCAGACATGACATACTGCTCTAGATACAGTCCCACAAGTCAGGGCTGGAGGAGAAAAATCACTTCTCTCAAAAGGCTGTGTATACAGCCTCACTAATGCAATACATTAGTGAGTACACTTACGTGTGTGGTATTCAGTTCATAAATAAATGGCAAACAACTGTTCTGTGTTCACCTTCCTCATGATTCTACAGATCCCTGTTACACTTCCCACAGCTTCCTCTTCTTCAGGCTGGAAAAGTCACAGTTTACCTAGCTATTTCCCATATGGGATTCACTAACTACCAAGCCTACAGCTCACACCTTGTTTAACTTTTACATCACAAAAATTCAAAATAAAGCTGAAAATTATTCATTGTGAAATAATAATCTTAAAAAAAAAAGTAGAAACTGAAGAAGGCAGGATGAAAAAGAACTGCTTACATACAGGGGATCTAGGCAGAGGGGTTATTAAGGAAGGTGTTTATAGGAGATTAAAGCTGGAGAGATGAAGAGCAGGTTCTGATGGAGCATGTCACTTCACTGTACATATGGTCCTGATGATTTCTGACAGGCAGGAATTTGCTTTTTTTTAAAGACAATCCATGTTACAATGGGCGAAATACTGGATAGCGTGTTATTGCTCTAGAAAATATCCTTTTGCTCCAAAAACAAGATAATTGTATTCTCAAATGCTTTTGAACATCAAAAATACTAAGTTTGTTTGCTGAAGAGGAAAAAAGTACAGATTCTATGTTTTTTCCATTTATTTTCCTTTTCCACTTTCTCATTAAATTCTTCCATTTTTTTTTTCCTCATGAAAACATTCTGAAGGCATAGAAAAACAATTGCCCAAAGAATAAACCTAGGCCTGTACCTGGTATTGATGATGTCTCCTCAAATTGTCAGCTGCACGTCTCTGAAAAATAGAAAAGAATAAAAAAATATTAATCTCTGTGTGGAAGTAAAGTATTTACTTTAAGAGAAAACAGCAGGCCTGTGCATTATACAGTATCTAGCAAGCTGAGAGAAGAGGTTCAAAATCTGCTGAAAAATGACAGTGTTTGAAAAAAGCCTATCATTTGCTTTATATAAAGGGGAAGGCTGCTGTAGGGAAGGCAAAGTGGATTTTCTACATTTTTGTCAAAATGCTTTTATTCCTGCATTAGCATGGATGTGGTGGGGCAGGTTGCAGAGTCCCAAGGTCAGCGATCTGAGATGGAAGTGGAACAATGGATCATGTCACTCACTTGCACAGACTGAAGCATATTTTACTCAATTGAAAAAAGCTTGACTCATGTCAAGTTAGATTTTTCTTGGAGGTACACAGTGAAAGAACAGGAGTCAATGGACATGAGTTAGAGAAGAGAAATTCTGCATGGGAAATCAACACGGTGGGATTTGTAAAGCCATGGTGTAAGCAAGACACTTGCTACGGCTCCTGATGTCTCATTTAAGGTAAAGCTAATCAAAACCTGCACTATAAAACTGTGTTAATGAGAAAGCTCCCCCCTAGCTCTCTGTTAAAAACACTTAGTCATAGAGAGGTGTATGGAAGAAAGAAAGAGCTTTCAACACAGTTTGGTGTTGATAGGGAGGGAGAGTAAAAGGGACAGTAACTCTGAAGAGGAGCAGCAAAAAGAAGTGTGGTAGGATGAAAGAATAGCCCAGGTTTCAAGCAGATGTATTCAATTAAACTGCCATATCTAAGGGCTGTCCAGAAGAAGAGGGGGAAGAAAGGTCGGATTTATTTTTTCCCTTGATTTCTTTTGTCCTCAATGGCATGAGTAACATATCCCCATCCTCTACAATAATTATTCCTAACTGGTGAAAGAAACACAGCTTTAACTTAGACTCTCATATCTGCTGCTGAGAAGAAATTAATGTGTCTGACACTGATTGTATCTCTACAAAACAGAAGACTTAACAGCGGTTTAAAATGGGGAAAGGGCATCCAAGGGACTTGTTAAAATTGACCTCAGTTGCATACTAAGGCAGGCACAGCAAGTTATTTCATCTTTTTTTTTTTTTTACTTGAAAGAAATGATGAACCTTTTCCCTGTACTTGGAGTCAGTTTACACTTCAGAGTTGATTTCTTGTTTGCAATTAATTTAGGGATGCAGTGGCTTCGTGGCTGGGCTAGCAAAAAATAAAAGAAAGGGGGAAAATCATTATTTCCTAATCAGTCTGAAGAGCCACAGTGGTGTACGCCTTTGTACATGAGAATGCTTTCTTCAGTATTTTCCAGATTGTGTTTCTCCATCTATGCCTTGTAAAAGAGAAAATGGCTATTTCTTATTTTAAGGATGGAGGGATGGGCGAGCTTGCCCATCACCAGGGCCAGAGGGGACAGTGCAGCCGCGGGAAGGCTCATACCCTCACAATACCGGAACTTAGTCGGTTTTTAGAAAAAAAATTTCAGCTTTCTTGCAGTTGGCCACATGATGGAGATGTTTTATTCTGCCGAGAGTGCACTAAGGGAGACCGTGGCTAGAGAGCTCTCAAGAACAGATCTGACTCACAGGTGAAGGGAAAAACAATTTAGAGTGTAATTGAAACACACTTCAGGAAAAGTGAATAACTCCGAAGTAAAAAAAATGCCGATTCTTGTCTTGCACAGTACTTCTACAGCTGCTGTCTATTCTGCTTTATTTTACAGTGAAATGTGAAATAAATGCATAGGTTCAATCCTGTATCTGTAACAAAAGCTACCTAGATAACATTTATCCTTTTTTTTTGCAGCCAATTTGGAAACTCACAGAAACAGAGGCCATGGCTTTTCCCCTTAATGTAATGCCAACGAGTACAATTTAGGATAACTATGTGAAAAGATTTGTGTAATAATGTGTCAGAACTATTCTACTGCACTTAATTGTTTTCAATTCATACCACCAAAAAGCTGAGAGAAAATTAATTTAATTGTATGTTTTCATGCACATCTACATACCTACTCCACTGGGAATTACACATAACCTATCAAGTTTATTATCACTAAACAGGTCTCTATCTCTCATTTAAATGTTTAGGATCCATCTCCAGTTCCTAATCATCTTTCCCTCCTTTTGAAAGAAAATGAATCTTTGCCTAAACACATCTGAAAACCAGGCTGTTCACTAGAAATAAAATGTGATTAACATTTGTATTGTCCTTATTTAGTTCTCAGCTGGCCTGCTTTTCTCTATTTGGTTATAGTCTAATTTATGGTTCAAAATTTGTTTCAAGTAACCATTGTTCTGTGTGCATGAAAAGGTTGAAAATTACGATTGGCAAAACAATGAATGTTTAATTTGACTAAAAATAGTAATAGGGTGGAGAACACGGTTAAGCATGTTCAATGCAATAGTGAAATTTAGGGGGACGCTGTCGTCACTTTCCAAAAGGGGGCACTAATATCCTTTAGAAAGCTTTAATAGTAGCTCTACTAGTAGTGATAATTGTTCTGATCCTCCTGTTTATGCCATTACTAGCAATTTACACTGTTTGGAAAAAAGATCTCTTTAGCAGTCAAAAATGTAATAAAATTATATTACTTATTTTGATGTGTTTTATTAAAATTATATCTTTCATAGTGAAGGAATACAAATCCAATGCCTGCACTTGACCTTAAACTGCTTAGTGATAAAGAAAATTGAACTATTGTCTGAAGTTGTGGGATATATTCCTCATCTTGACTAGAAGCATCACCTTTAAAGGATTAGAACTTATCTGTGTTGACAGAGAGGCTTCTCCATGAAATGATTCTTGGCTATACAAGGAATACTCCAGATTATTGATTTCCACACCAGATGGAAGGCATTATTTCTTTGCTCAACTTTCAATAACAGACATTACAGAGAAAATACAAAATGCTTACGCTGACTTAGAAATTGCATCATTTTCCACTAGGTGAAAAAAGAATAGGAGAAGGGAAAAGGAGATTTTCTGTGAAACATGATAATAAAATCATGTGGGTTGCTCAGAAAATGGCATAAAATTCTGTATAGCTAGAGAAGAGGTAACTGTTTATCTAAACATCAGATGAAAAAAAAAAAAAAAAAAAAAAAAAAAAAAAAAAAAAAAAAGAAAAGAAAAGAAATTCTAAAGCTCTCCCTGGCAATCCTCTCCATTTTCACTCCTGAAATACTTAAAATTATAGACAAAACATTTTTAGTGACTGATCAGACGTAAAGCAGAATGTAATTTGAGGAAAACGGTACAATTTTTTCTGGTGGGACTAGGATTTCTTTTCCCATGTATTTTTTTTTTCTGAAATACAGATGGTCAACAGGATTAGCCTTGACACACCCATGAGCCTTGTGCAGTCAGGAAAACCTCAGCCTAATTAATATAATTATATTACTAATCTGTCTTTTGCAAAGGTAAGCTAACAAAATTAATAGAACTGATACAAATATAGATGATACAGGTATATGTAAAAAGCAGCACACAAGCACACGCTTATTTCAGAATTTTAAGTGCAGGAGATGACTGATAATAGCTGAAGAAAATGCTGCATACCTGGGATATGTCAAAATGACAGAATAAAAAAATGTGCTGAACTCTGAATGGTAGAAGAGGTCTGTCTGATTCACAGCAGAGCTGAAGTATCAGTAAATCACATGTACTTTCCTGGCCTTCCTTCAGCTGAAGCTGTGTCTAGAGAAGTTGCCATCAGCATGGCTGGGAACCGTGTTGCTTTGGAGAAAAAGCCTCTCCCTTGAAAAACCTCCCCTTGACTTCACCACCCACTGCTTCAGCTGTTCCACTACAACAAAGAAGAGCCACAGAACTGACTTCCAAGGAGATGCAAATTATTTTCAGAGGCACCTCACAATGCTACAGACCATGCTCTTGCCCATGATAATTCTTTATAAACAGCAATGTAGATGATCCTCTCAAACAATGTCCTACTTAATTTTACTGGCATTTCTCTTCTTCCTATGAGCCAGATAAATAATTTCACTAGAATGTGTGCTGTAAACTATCCTGACCCTCAACCCTTTCTTTACACATTCCGCCTGCATATACTAAACTCTTAACTGTATACATGTATAAATTTTACAGTGGATTCTTGATACATTTGATTTGATCCTTGACTTAGCCCCTGGTCATGATTCCTGGCTTTTTGTTACTGAGGACTTTTTGCAGAGATCATGCATAATCCTTGCCAGCTTCTTTCTGTCTATTATCTATTTCGTATCCTCTAGCACTGACTCACTCTTTAGATGCACATTATTGCTTTTTCTGCTGGAAAACAACATAGTACGTCACTTCTAATTAGTGCTTCCTAATAGGAAAGTTAACATTTAGAGATTTCAGAACAGAATGTTTTGAAATCTGAGGTCTGCCTTAAAGACAATATGGCATCCATCCATCTATATAGACAATATAAGAAAATCATGTTATAGCATTTTTTTACTCTCCCAGACCTGATTTTAGGGAAGGAGACAGAGTTTATAAATGCACGACTCAGTGAAAAAGAGTAGATCCCAACAAAGCTTATCTTGCAGCTCAGAGGCCAAAGTTATTACAGAGCAGATACGAGTGAGGTGAAGTCCTCTGAGATCCTTGAATAAAAGGCAAAGAAAACTCTTCATTAACTTTTGGTTGAAAGGGCATAGAGGTCCTAAATTTAATTTGTTTTGTAGCTTGTTGGGACAATTGAAAAAGTTCTAGGAAATCAAAGCTGAGCTGTGGGTGATGGGAAGTTTGTCAGAACCAGAAAGAAGTGCTCTCCCTCAGGACAAACTATGAGATCACCGTGGTGTGCCCATTTGTTGACTGATGATTTAACCTCTTGGAGGCTGTCCAGTTAACAGAACCTATCTGGTGGTTTGCATCTATCCAATGTGGAAATCAGAGCACAGAGTGCATATGCACATCTTACTCAATTTTGGAGCTTGGGTGAATAACTTGGTCTGGAAATTGCAAAATGTTCCCAGTTCACATAAACCTAATGGGACTTGTGTTTGCTGAGCAATTAGCTGAAGAACTTTGTAGTTTTATGAGATGCCCCTATGGTGGACTGGATCTGCCTGGTCAGCCACAGCCACTCACTTTTTTTCAGGCAGCTGGAAGTGTGGTTGCCATGATGGCTCTGCTGGTAAGCTCTCTGCTTCAGAGGGGTTTCAGCTCTAATTCAACTAAGAATAGTTCAACTAGGAATGTAAGATTCAACTAAGAATCTATTCTGCAGGGGAAACCAGTGATTTATATGGCCCTACTGTCCCACACGCTTTCAAATAATTAAAAAAAAAAAATACAGGAATCAACTACAAATGTCCCACATCTCTCCCTCATTGATGTCCTCCATCTCCAACAGTTCAGTAATTAGTGGTTCATATTCAAATCATAAGGAAGCTTGGTTCAGCTCCTTCTGTTCTCCCAAGAGACCACTTTAACCCCTGCAGTATCTTAAAGATCTTGAGAAGGAAATTTCTGTTGTCATAGCTTTTATGCTTGGGGTAAATAATTAGATATCCACTGGAGAACAGAAGTAAATCTGGGTCTCCTCAGCCCAAGATATTTGCTTTAAATATTTGCACCTGCTCCTTTCTTCAAACAGAAATTTCATCCTGAAGCTGAAAAGTCTTTCCCAACAAAAGCTTATTTGAAACTGAAATATATTAATTAAAAAGTTTGGTGTTTAGAGATTTTGGGGGATTTTAACTTAAAAACCAAAAAAAATTCTATTTGGAAAAATTCTCAAGTAGCTTGGTGCATAGACTCCCTACCCTTTCACCCTTTGCTGCACCCGTTTTCCCAAATCTAAGACGTGGGTTTCTTGTAGGTGGTATTTATGTACCCTAGCAGGAGGTAGGTATGGAAGCAGGAAGTAGACATGATCTTTCTGAATCCCCTTCCTCATCACGCCATTCAGCATAGGGCTGGGAGCACCCTGTATCTTTTTTATTATTCTGCTTGTCCAGGAATGAGTTTACTCCCAAATCTGCAGTTTGAGAGGGTAAGAAAAAGGAAAAAAAATATTTCCTTATCCCAGGAAGGTCTGACAAGAAATATTGTCCTAAAAGTTCAGCTGGGCTATATAAGGTTTTTCTGTATCTGTCTCAGTCAAACCGAAATATTGTGTTAATCAACCCTCTGCTATACGCTGGCATCATACCATTAATTTTAATATCATTGTCTCAGTTTACACTAGCTAATCATCCTTACCAAATGTTTAACAAATGCCTAGAAGCATTGCCCACTCTCCCACACTCAGAAGTACATCACACTCTCTCTTGACTTTTTCTTTCTAACAACATCTCACAGTTTCTCCTTCTGGTGGTCTCTGCATTTACTTTTTTCATTTCCTATATTACACAGAGATGTTTTACTCTTAAGATTATTCACCATTCATGCTAGTTCATGTTCTCTTTAAAATTTCTATATGAATCATTGTAAGTCTTTCTTAACTCAATGTTTTTTTCAGTGTGTTTCTTGTCATCCATTACTGCTTTGTTTCAATGCCACCCTCATGTTTATTAGATTTTTTTTCCCTGGATGTTTCTTTCCTATATGTACAAAAATGACATCAAAGTGAAACAGTTTTGCTTTCACAATTTAGATACTGGCCAACAATATCAGTATATTGCAATAAGCCTTATTTGAAGCTTTCTACAAAGAGGAAAAAATCCATTTATCAGCATAGCAATTGTGAATTAGTTTTACATGTCACTTTTCCTTATTACCATATCTGTACATGCATGTGAACTTGTTCCTCCAAGTACTTCTAGAGATTAAATGGCATTTCAGGTTATGACAGCAGAATAGGCAGGAAAAACTTATTACTCACCTATCAAGAAATAGGGAAGAAATACAAAGAAAACGTTGATATAGTAATGGTCCATCAAATGCTTGTATCATACCCCCTGACTTCTTTGAAACGGATGGAATTTTTTTTTATAAGAATCAATAGCACAAGGATCTTATCCCTTTCTTTCCCCCCTTACCCACATTTGATTCTCATACTCCCACTTAATGCTTGGCTATCTGAGTTCCAAACAGACTTGAAACATTTATATTCATCAAATCGCTACGGTATAGAGAAAATGCCATTATCCACATCTTATCCCAAATAGCCTTCTTCATGCTAGAGCTGGCTAAATTCTAGTTACTGAGGTACTGACTCACTCATGGGAAATGAAGAAAACACAACTAAAGAGAATTAGCTGTTGATGGGTTTGGATGTTGCCTGAATATTCGCACTGACAGTATAGAAAAAGTGCGTCGCTGACTAAGGTATCTCAAGTAGATGAAGTTAGAAGGGAAAAGTTCAAATCTGCTTTACCCACTGCATCTACCGGAGAAAGTAAGTAGATGAGATATTACACAGGCATCTGCTGAATCCAGGTGCAAGACTATTCTTGGTCTCGTGTGTCTTTTCCCCCTTTTTTTTTCCCTTAGAAATGTCACTGCTAATCAGCAGTATCAGAATATGGTATGATTTCAGAATGGGATTCTGAAATAGCTCTACCTTTAAATTCAAGAAAAAAAGTCCAAGTAAATGCTCTCACCTTTTAAATTCTTTTTTTTTTTTTTTTTTTTTTTTTTTTTTTTTAATGGGAACAGCTTTTGGTAAAAATGCTTTTATGGCAAACTCATTTCATTACATGTAGAGAGACAGAGACACAGAGAATATCCCATGATGAGTACTTCATACATGAGTCTCTGGTTCATGGTATTCAATTATACCTGAACTGCAATACTTGAGCTAGGGATTAGTAACCAACAATTCTGACACTGACAGACAAGTACACACATTTGATTTCTTGCATTTTTTATTGCTCTTAAACTTTCTTGCACTATCTGTAGATGAAGCACAGTCACAATTCATACTGTTATTGTACAGGGATATGATGATGCTTTCTCTTCAAATACATTGACATGAATGTAAAAAGTAAACACTTTGCTAGAATTATTGTCTAATTCATATACACATTATTTGACAGGTTAGACACTATAAACCTGAGAAAAAGTCATCTATATAGCAAAGAGGAGGACTATAGACAGAGTAAACCACACGACTTACCCCTATTGTTCCAAAACTTTCAGGCTTTCTTCTAATTTTTTTCTTGCAAAGGTGTCTCCATAACCATTTGATCAGATACCACAAAGACTTTGGGCTTGGTATGACATTAAAAGGAGTGGGCAGAGTTCCTCCTTCTTCAAAGTAACTCATCCAGAGTTTTGTTCGAGCAAACTTCCACTCAATGTCTGCATGATCCTGCACCCAAGAAACATATCATCAACATAGATATTGCTATAATTAAGGAGGGGAAATAAACCTCTACAAAAATCTGAAAAAACTAAAGCTAGAACAACCTTGAAATCCTAATGAATTTTCTTTTTAAAATACTGCCATCTTTTGACAGAAGGTCTTTAACACAAAGCAAATCTAAGCTGCTTTACCTCAGTAAGGAGATGTTCGATATGTAAAGTATGTATCTACTTATAAGCACTTCTTTCCCTGTTACAAGCTGTTAAATTATTGAAAATCTCTCAAAAAACAGAAAAGGTAATTACAAGCAGAGAAACACTACATTTCTAGAAGAAACGTTATAATAGCAGCTCACTATTATTCTGCTGCAATAGCAGCACTATATTCTGCAGTCTACTTATGCTGCTCTGCAGCAGCTGCAACAAGTCAGCAGGGCTCATTCATTTTCCTAGAAAATACCAGTCCCCAAAATTCACAAATAGGTTATCCAAAAAATCATGAGGCTGCTAAAACTATTGAGTCAAGTATCTTTTTTTTCCCCTACTACTTCAGAATTCTATATTTGGGATAGGTTGTGGGGTGACTTTTTTAATTTTTATTTCAAATTTCATTTCTTTTGGAACCTATATAGTATTGTATAATTATGAATTTTTGGGAAAATGAAAGCTAAAGGTCATGGAAAGATGTCTAAATCCTAGCAGCTGAATAAGAAGTTTAAATCACTAATGTTAGATTTGGATAGCCAAGAACGTCAGCTACAGGTCTAGTCCTGGCCATACAGTAACAAAAGCAGCGATTTAGAACTTGTAGCAGGAAAAGTATACTACCTATGGCCCCAGTTTTGGTGAGTGGTACTATGTTATGATATGGTTCACTAGACTCTGACAACTAGAGTTACACAAACACAGGTGGTCAGTTTTTCTTTTGTGGAAACACTTGTAATTTCCAGATTGGAATAAAAGACACATTTTAAAATCTTAAGACTGTGAAGCTTTCTTTTGTTTGCTTTCTGCATGATCATATTTCAATTATCATATGATGAATCAGTGTTTATTTTTCCTAGTCTCCTTAACAGACAGTTTAGAAATAAAACTACGCCCATAGCTCTAGTAATGACAAAGACAGTTTTCATTGAAGGAGGAAACAGGACACTGTTGAACGAGAAGATATGACTTCTTGTTTGAATAGCTAGTGTCCTTGGAACAGGGACACCCATTTTCTGTTAATTGTATAGCCATGTCAGATAAAAAAAAAAACAAAACAGCAGTCTTTCAAATGCTAATAAATATAATATATTAAAAATATATCAGCAGCAGAGCAATTCTAGGCAGTCTTTTTCTAAGAAGAGGTCCTGCACAGTGCAGCTTGGGCAGGGCTGTAGCCCATGTCACTTGCCAGAAGCATCAGGACACCCTCCTCAACCCACAAGCTGGCTTCTTCACCTCTTCCCCATTTGGTATTGTGGGGAAATTTTACCCTACTCAGTTCAGCTTGGGTCTTGTTTCTTTTTCCTTCCAGAACAGCGCAAAAGAATCAGAGTAAATTGCAATATTTGTCCCAATGTCCTGTCTTGTCCTGTCTGTGAAATGTTTTACTGCCAGAAAAATCCAGAAAAATTGAATGTAGGAACAGAGAGAGAGTATATATTATAAATTATCTAAAAACAAGAAAAAACTTACAGCAATGAGTTGGTAAGAGTTATTCATCATGGCTATTAGCATGTTGAGTAGAACAACCAGAGATATTACATTATAGGTACCAAACATGGTGGCCCCAACAAATTCAGTGAATTCATGCCTCGCTTTCACATTGGTCACATAGAGATTGATGAGTCCAAATATAGACCAGAATAATGACTGCAGCGTTTCAAATAACCTGAAAAACAAAACCCAGAAGGAATAGCTGTATAATAACTACACATTTAGTTTTCTAATTGTTCAGTTTCTCCCAAAATACACAAAAGTTCTTGACTTGACTGAGATGAATGACACTTATCACTATATTGCAAACATAGAGGGAATATCTTTCTAGTGAAACAATGGTCTAGTCTTTCAAATCTGGGCCTCTACAGATAGAATACAGGATCTATAAATAAACCTGCAATCAAAAGGCTGATTTTGTTCAAACTTCAGAGACACAAATATAGTTTCAGAGATCTTATGCTGGACACCTTATTTTGAAGTACTTTGACCCTTTGCTTTAACTATAAGGGGTAGAATTAGGATCCAAAAGTAACTCAAGTATGGTTGTGAAAGCAATGATTGTGCCTCGCCAGGATGTTGAAAGAAATACGGTATCCTCATATCTTGCAATTCTGGTTTGTTGAAAGCCACTGAGATAAAAGGAGTCAAATAGTTAGAAAGACATTATTATCATTAGCATATGTTTTGTTTTATAAAGAAAGGAAACACAAAAAAGACAAGCATACTGCTCTCAAAAGAAACTTGTGTTTTTATACCTTGTGCTTTTATATTATATTCCCTTAGAGAAATTTGTACAACATCTAGGAAGTTAGTCACAATGATGAACTTTAAAAAATAATCCTCTGCAGCTAGATAGATTGAAAAATTTTCCCTTTTTTTCAGCTACACCATAGTGTGATATGAACAGTCCTGGTTAGACTGCTCCTTGAAAGTATGGAGCACATAAAGTGTCACATTTTGCCATGACATCATCTTCTGACACTAGTACCAGTACTCCCCACTATTTCCCAGATGAATATTGCTTCCCTCAATGCTGAGCTCTGAAAAATTTCTGTGTGCTTATCCGTTCAGATCACATAAAGTTTTGAGTTGCATAGGTGTTATTTATACAAAACATAAATGTGCTGTGCCTGAGAAAAGTTACTTGATTAAGATGATAAAAAGGCTGCTATTTTTATAAAATTATTTCCTCTAAGAAGGAAGCCATTAGTAATAAATATATTTTTAAAAAAGCCTAGATACACAGAAGTTAATAGGGAATGGACATTTATACCAGCAGTTTGATGCAGGTTGGAAGGTGAAAGACAAGAGAATTAGTATTCATTTGGTAGTGTTTGGTACTATAGAAGAACTAAAAACTATAATGAAGTAAAATTGATTTAAAATGAAAGAAAAAGAAACAGTTTATAACAGAAATTAGAAATCTGATTCTGTGGACTACAGTCAGTAGAATCTTGGATTGAATGTTTTTTTATAGCCTATCACATTTGCAAGGAACCTTCATGTTTTAGAACACCAGACTTATTTAATGCCCACAGGTAGACATGGAAGAAATGCAGAGTGACAGCTGCCTGGACGAGCCAGGCCTGAACTGGTGACCTTATGCAACTTCTAATCTCTTTTATCTTCCTCTTATCTATATTTTACCTTTTATCTTTTGAGATATCTTGAATTGTACAGACTTCACTGTGGTATGAACATTATTAGAGTGATGAAATGGGGTTTTTTTGTTTTTTTTTTTAATTGTTTTGATGTGTTTGTCAGGACCCCACTGTAATACCATCAGGGGTTCTTTTCTGTAGACAGCATCTAAGTCATTAAAATATTTGGGGAGAGGGGGAGGATAGAAATAAATAGCTACTTACGTTGAAAATGCATTATTCTGCTTTTCACATCGTATTCCTTTGCAGTTGCCAGGTTCATTTGTCTCATAGTAGAAGTACAGCTGGTTCAATCCATTTGCAAAAGCGAGCAGCACAAGGCAGTATATGAAGAGAAACTTCAAAATGTCCAGCAACATTCTTCCTAGAGATATCTGCAGAGGTCCCAGGTGAGAATTTGCAGTGAATAACGAGATCAAGCGCAGGGAGCTAAAGATGTTTGCGATTGCAAACAGGGCCTCAGCCACCAGGGTTGGATGCCACATGTCCCAGCTCTCCCGTGGAACTAACCCACTATACTGGAAACAAGCAGAAGGAAAGAAATTACTCCTCTATTTTGATGCATAAACAAGCATGTCAGTTTCTTTACAAGCTGCTCAATTAATTTGCAGATATCACCATAAATTTTCACAGTAGCAAAAATTTTCACAGTTTAAGAATTCTGACACTGTAAAAGGAACAGTTTTGAGCACCTTGCTTTTTAGAATTATAGAAATTTCCAGCTGTACAAGCAGGTAAATTATTTCTTTGAATAAAAGTGTAGGGCTGACAGTGATGGATAGAAACCCACAAAAGCTCTGGCAAGTAGGAAGAAAACATTCAATCACCAAGTAAGTATATCAATTAATCACTAATACTGGACCAATGATGAAAAAGATGTTTATTAATGAACCATGGCAAACTGCTTATGTGTCTCATTATCAAAGAGTCTGACCCCTGAAACTGTGACTTCTGTTCATGCTCTAACAAAAAAAAAAATTAAATTATTGAAAATGAAAGATATTTGAACTGAAGATTAACTGCTATAGCAGACTCATTATTATTTATTTAGCCTCAATAATCTGTTTTATAGAACATATCAGAGGAGAGAATCTATGCTAGGAAGCTCTCTGAAAAGGGTATAATATAATAGAAAGCAGATTTCAAAGGGGGACTATGGTGTTATCTGTATTTACCTGTTCTAGACCACACAGATGCACCTTCAGAGCTGCTGGGCATGCCCTGAGCAGTAAGGAAAGGCATTCCATGTGTCACTGGGGCCATATGATACAACATAAACAGACATCACAGCATTTCACCACACTCACCTTACAAAGAAAGAGTGGTTCAGAAACACCTGAGTAACTTGAACATACATTAAGCCTGTAGGACCTGATCAGATACATCCCAGAATCCTAAAGGAACTGGCTGATGTAGTTTTCAAGTTTTTTGTATATTGCTTGTCAATATATTTGAAAGCTCCTGTGAGTCAGGTGAAGTCCTCAGTGACAGGAAAGAGGAAAACATTGCACCCATTTTTAAAAAGGGGAGAAATTAAAACTTTGGGAACAACCAACCTGTCAGCCTCCCCTCTGTGCCTGGGAAGGCCATGGAACAGATCCTCCTAGAAGCTGTGCTAAGGAACACGGAGGACAGGGACACAATTTCAAGTACCAGCACAATTTCAGCACGGGAAATTTTCACGGGTTGGTCAGTCCTTCCTGACCAACCAAGTGGTGTTCTACGATGGAGTGACTGCATCAGTGGACAAGGGAAGGGTTGCAGGGTGTCATCTGTCTGGACTTGTGTAAGGCTTTTGACATGGTCCCTTGCGACGACAACCTTCTCTCTAAACTGGTGAGAGATGGTTTGATAGGTGGACTCTTCAGTGGATAAAGAACTGTCTGGATGAGTGCATCCATAGAGACATGATCAACACCTTGATGTCCAAATGGACGTCAGTGACAAGCAGCATCCCTCAGGGATCTGTACAGAGACTGGGACTGTTTAACATTAATGACCGAGGGATGGAGAGCACACTCAGCACAGATGACACCTAGCTGAGTGGTAGGACTTGCATGCCTGAAGGACAGGATGCCATCCAGAGGGACTGGGACAAGCTCAAGAAGTGGCCCCATGGGAACACCATGGGGTTTAACAAGACTAAGTAAAAGGCACTGCAACTTGGTCAGGGCAGCTCCCAGTATCAAGGCAGTCTGTGGAGTAAAGGGATTTGGAGGAGATGGAGATGAGGTACTGGTAGGTGCGTGGTCACAGCCCAGAAAGCCAACCATATCCTGGGCTATACAGGAAATGGGGCCAGAAGGCCAAGGGAGGGGTTTCTGTCCCTCTACTCCACTCTGCTGAGACTCCATCCAGAGTGTTGTATCCAGCTTCAGCATCCCCCATACAGGAAAGACAAGGACTGCTGGAGCTGGTCCAGAGGCTGAGCACATCTCTTCTGAGGAAAGGCTGAGAGATTTGGGGCTGTTCAGTGCAGAGAAAGGGTGACTTTGGGGAGATCTTGTGGCCTTCCAGTACCTAAAAGGGTCTCATAGCAAAGATGGAGATAGACTTTTTACTAGGGCCTGTAGCAATAGTAATGAGCTAATGGTTTAAAACTAAAAAAGGGTAGATTTGGACTAGATGTAAGGAAGAAATTTTTTTATGATGAGGGTGGTGAAACACTGGAACTGGTTTCCCAGAGAGGTGGTAGATAATTCCTGGAAACATTCAAGGCCACGCTGGATGAGGCTCTGAACAGCCTGATCTAGTTGAAGGTGTCTGCTTGTCGCAGAGACACTCGACTACATGACCTTTAAAGATCCTTTCCAACTCATTCCATCCTATGATTCTGTGATTCTGCAATCCAAATTGTGAAAGGGAACTGGGCATTGTTTTGGACACTAACAATTGGCATAGGCCCCACACCAGGGTTTCTCTAACCAACTAGTAGTGCATGTGAAACTGTCCCAGGGCCCCACAGCAATCCCTGGCACAATTCCATTTACTAATATACAAGCAGCCATAGCAGCTGACAGGTTTGTGGATGAGAACTAAAAAACTGAAAAATAGGTCATTAAAGAATTTAGAATTATTCAGCCTTACATTTTGTTCACCTGTGATATTTGTTCTCTACAGAGCAGTGAATTAAATCTAGACCTGCTGGAATCATAGATCAGAACTCTCTGCATTAGACTATCCTCTCCCTAATGATTATGCTCATCTGCCCCATCCACTATGGCTGCTTAATCCAGTTCTGACTGATTCAAGATCAGTGATGAAAAACAGGTAGTAGAAAACAGAATGTAGTTACCGGAGACAACACCAAAGAGATAAAACAAGAAGACAAAGCAGAAGAAAATATTTTCAGTGTTTTTGAGAAGAGAGAGTTGAAAACTCCTCAGCATGGTTCCTATAATGGCTTTCTTTTTTTTACTGCACATTATGAGCAAATTATTTGTGAGCAAATTATCATGGTACTTTACAACCCTCACAGCTGAAAACTTGCACCTTTTAAATAACCAGGAATAATTGTCCGTACAAGCAAAGATTGGTACTGGACAGTGCAGTAGATACTCAAATTAGGGAAAAGTACACAAGGTGTCTTGGGGCAATAAAGTAAAATACAGTAATGGAGAAATGTAAAGAACATTCATGAAACCAGGAAGAGATGGAGTTTTTGGTAGAGAATCAAAAGCATCAAACTGCAGACATATTTTGGGTGAGGGCAAGTAGTGGCAGATTCCAGGGAAGTTACAGATGTGGGGAAGTTGGGAGAAATCTAAGAAAATACCCTTCTGAGAAATACCTGGAACTACAGGACACTGAAAAAGTATAGCATATGATATACCAAGACAAGAAGAATCAAGTTTAACAAGTCAGGTGTGGATAGCCATAACTGCACTCTGACACCTACTCTTACAGTCAGCAAAGAGAAATGAGAATTTCTAGAGTAGTGGGAAAGCAAACATCCCACATAGGTGAGTTGCTCTTTAACTTTCTCATTTTATCCTCATTGATTGTTGGGGAAGGGGATAGACTGTCTTACAGCTGTAGTCTGGCAAGATGTGTCCAATGTCACATTTTCTAGAAGAAATGATGTTAAGCAGAAAGGTGAGGAAAAAAGGACTTTGTCTATGATATCCTGGAAAAAGACACAAAACTGATTTCTTCGAACATTCAGAAAAGATCAAATGACCTTTAATTTGTGAAAGGGAAATCAAAGGCTATGACATTTCAGTGTAACTGACTCTTCCTTTTCTGGGCCCAAGTGGTTCCTGCATGTTTGGATAGAATTCAAGAGGCGTCACTGTTGTAAGCAGAGAGTGATGGCTGTTATTTTAGTGTTGAAGAAACATAATTTAAAAGACTGTAAATACTTGGCAGAAAAAAGTGAGAAAGGTGAAGGCCTGAGAGATAAGTTTGGAAATTGTGAAATATAAGTTTGGAAATTGTGAAATATACTAACTGCAAGAAGACAGCAAACAATATAAAGAAAATTATGAGTATAAGAGGTCTCTAACAACAAACCCCTATTGATTACACTAACCAGAGCAGAGGATGCTGAAAAGGAATCTAGAAATATTTAAAAAAACCTAGAGAACAAAGCAGCTTTCATGTGAAAAGGAAAATAAAGAAGAGTAGCAAAAAGACTAGGTATACTAAAATCAGGAACAGTGAAAAAGAATAAAAAATATATCTTAGAGTCAAACCACCTAGAATTGAGGTATTTTTTCTCTCAGTCATGTTTGTTGAAGTCCTTCTGTTCTACACAGGATAAATAAATTAATATTGTTCTAAGGAATGGAAAATGGTAAGAGAAAAAATAGCAACACTGAGTTTGCTGTAAATCATGATGTTGATACCCTGCAGTCCTCTATTTGGTGACCCTGATGAATTTCTGTCCCCCCTGGAATGCAAACACGACCTTTTGACATGTAACAAAACCAACCATCACTTAATTTGATTAAATAACACCGATTACTGGTTCTGTGGTTGAAGGAAATTTACATGGCACATCAATGGAAAATTAAGAAGAGCAGAAAACAAATAGAACAGCATATAAACAGTAGAGTTTCAAGGTAAATATATGATGCTTTTGCGGTATCAGCCAGGGAATACAAAGTAATAATCCTTGATCCTTACTCAAAGGAATTAAAATGCAAATTCAATATCTGAACCATTTGCGAGAAAAATAAAGCTGAGTGATCACTGTTTTCTCATTAAAAGAAAAGACATGAACTCTTGATCTCTTGGAAGCACCACGAGAGATCCAATAGAAATGCAGATCAGGCTGCCTGAATGTTTAATGAGCTGTTGGACCTTAGTCTAAGATAACCCCTTGTTTCTGGTCACAAGACAAGTTAAATTATATCCATTGCAGGAAAAGTACTTTAAATACTTTCCTGAAAAGTCATATGTAAATGTGAACTCTTCCTATTTTAAAATGTATGTACCAATCTTTGCATTCATTATGTGGAATTTCAAAGCAGCACTAGGAAGGGAGCAGGGGGATGGCCTAGCAGAGAGCTTTAGAATGGTAATTACACTGAGGAATAAGGTCCATAATTTCTCAGGGGTGGAGAGGTGTTAATCTGCCTGTGCAAATGGACATTTAGTCTGTGAATCTGATAAAATATCTATCAAAACAATTTAACAATGCAAACATGTAAGAATATGTTAGCTTTTGCAGAACTGGTGGCAGAAGAGTTATATAATCTTATTTACTCCTAAAAAAAGTAGACCTGACACCGTGATCATTAAGCCAGTAAATGTTGAGACAAATAATGTACTTTAGCTACTTTTCAGAGTTCTTGCCCTGAATAGGAATTTGTTTCTCTACTAGCTCTTCACATCAGTAGCTGAGGCACGCTATCAGCAATATGAGATTGTATGTGATTTTTAGCAGAATTGGAAACAAACAGCACAAGGTCCAATGCTCAGGTTTAACAAGTATTTAAGAGAAAGCAAGCAGATTCTGCACACATGTTGGCACTGCACTTTACATATCAAAACGAAATAAATTATATTCAAAAAAACATAAAAGGAACCATTTTTTCTTAGTGCACTTAAAAACCCTCCAAAAAAACAAATGCATTGCTTAAAATCTGTCATCTTGTACTTAAAAAAAATATATGACAGTGTGCTATAGATTATGATATTTTATGGAGGGAGAGAGCATTTTCAATGGATATACTGGATAATTTAGGAAGGCCCAACATGTTGATGCAGAGACAATAAACCATAGGCCATTGAAAATTATAAGATGTCCTTATTTTATTTGAATACTGGCAATGAAACCAGTTACTTTGATTTATCTTAGCAGTTCTCTCATCCTGAAATGATATGCTTTGGTGAATTTTTAATTACCCCATCAGCTACTCTAGATAATATCCATCTATTTAACTACTGCATCAGTAAGAGCCTTAAATGGGCAATAAACACTATATTTTACTCTGGGAATATTTATCACACAGGAGAGTAGCATGGAGACACTCATAATTTTGTTCAAGGGAGCTGGTTAAAATGTTTTCTTGCATGGCTGGAACTGATCCATAGAAGATAAAATAAATCTAAGAGCTGACCTTATATATTTGGTTCAATAAAGACAGAAGAGATGTAACTTATAAATACCTGACTCACAATGCTTAGGAAAAGAAAATAAAAGCTTCACATTAAAACATACTGGTTACATTTGGCATCATCTCAATCTCATCTGGCATAGTGGAAAGGAACTCTGTTGTAGGCATTTGAAGGAATGTGGCAGGGTATTAAATCACACTTATATTCCTCTGTTCATTGCTTCATCATGTGTTTCAGTTGACTAGCACAGCTTTTGTAAGCACTGTATTCATTATGATTAAAACGTACACACTAATTTGGAGAGTAATGGATGCACATTATCCCAGATATTGTCACCTTGGAATCTGACTACTGTAAGCAGAAGCCATTTCAGAGATGAAAGGATTATAATGTCTTCTAATCAATATTATTCTGAACTGAATAATTGGCCATCTCTAATGCTTTGGAAACATCTATTTTAAATGAACTTTAAAATAGTGTGCTTTGTTTCAAGGGACAGTGGAATGACTATTTATTTTCTAGTCACTTTATTATAAGGCATCTTTGTTTGAAAAAAGGCATTTCATTAGCTTTTAAATGACAGTTCACCACTCTTTAGAGCACCTTTGTCTTTCAGGCTCCAAATTTCTTCGAGTAAGACTTCCAAAGGTTTGCAGCCAGAGATCCAGCATGTCAGAAACCTTTTGTCAAAGAAGGCTGATGTGTCAACACATGACCCGGGGGTCATTGTTCATCCCTGCTCCTGACTGGCTGACACACGGACCTTTGTGACCAGACACAAGATGATATAAATTAGAGTTCCTATGCTCCTCTCTGCCTGTGGCAGGGCTGCAGCAAGAACAGCTGCAGTTTGAGGAGAGGAAGTCATCACTGGCTACTTGATGGCTCTCTCCTTGTCCCAGTCAAAAGTATCTTGGCAGAGGGGGGACTCTCCTTCCATGCACACAAAGTAGTAGTATTGCAACTGTAAATTATCGCTTGCAGCAGGGAACTTGAAAAAGCTGAAGTACAATGCTGATCCCCATGGCCAGTAAAAATGGGCTTATCTCTACATGGATGTGGTAAGAACTCTACGATAAATGCTAAAAAATGCTTTAATTCCCTTTCATATCTGGTTTCCTTGCACCTGAGAACATTTGCTATTCAAAATATCTCATTTTATGAGGAATTTCTCTCATATTATATATTCATGTGGAACACATACAAAATGTCCACACAACATGTTCTCTGCCTTTGGAAAGAAGGGCTGTTCTGCTGGAAGATTCTTAAAACAGAGGAAATATAAGACTTTCACATCAAGTCCATGAAAATAATGTAAAAATGAATGTACCCAGTCTCATTTTATCTCATTCAGCTATACTTTTTTATGTTGCACTTACAATAAATTTTAAAAAGAAATTAAAATCTTACTCTTTAGTTCCCACCACTAATTTTGACTACATTTCTTGGCAGTAGACCTGTCTTAAAGTTGTGTAAAATTGTCTTAGGGGCAATAATTTCTCACTTAAAAATCAAGGATTAACATAAAAGGCAAGCATTATAAAATATTACAGGTAATTTTCATTTCTCAAGAATTTAACAGTATGACAGTTCAGGACAAAATAAGAAAAGATTGCACAGGCCAAGAAGAAAAAAAACATAAAACCCAATATTTTGTTTGCTCTTATACTTGTCTAGTTTCCTGTCATTGCTGCCGAAGATTCACAGAACACATCATACATCTTTTGAATTGCTAAGCCTCAGGACCTCCAAACACAGATAAAAGATTGAAGAAGCCTGATTTAATTTATCTTTAAAATGTTGCTGATTTTTTTTTACAGTTTACCTTTGAAAATGCAACGATTTTCAAGGAGATTGTTGCCAGGTACAAGGAGTTCATTACAAAATCCATGAGGTTCCACCAATCATGAATGTAGTCCTGTAGTCCACCATCCCACATCTGTTTAATTTCACCCCAGATAAAACCTGTAAATAGAACATAATTCATTAGGCATGAATATTAAGTTAAAAAAGGCTGTGAATATCCTAGACACTTAACTCATGATAGATTTATTCTCCTTACATCTAGTGTAAAGGAAGGTGGATAATTTACACATCTAGATAGGTGAAATTTCATCTTTTCACTATTTCCAGAATTAATTTGTCACACAAAACCCCCACAAAAATATCTGCTTCTACAAGGACAATTCCTTTGGTTTTCTTCTCACTGTATCTCTTTCTCATTGTATCCTAAAAAGTATGAAAAGGGTCTTAAAATAAGTTACCAGTGTCAACTCAGTCCTTGGCAACTGATGCAATGTATTTCAGACTGGAAAATTTATGACTGCAGGTCAATCCAACACAATTTATTTTGATTGGAACCCACACAATAAGAAAGAGAATTTCTATGTTATTGTCAATGCTAAAGTCTCCCTTTTCCATATGAAAGAGTAGTGTCTCCAGAAGAAAGTCTTTTGTTGACACCTTCCTTTGGGACATGAAGGATGTTTTCAGGTGTGCAGAGCACACATTGTGCTAGACACAGTGAAACAGAAATATTCAATCCAAGTGGAAAATCTTGCCAGTTGTCTGACATGAACTTGGTTTAACAGCCTCAGAGACAACTGTGTGGGGACCCTTTAATGCTATGAAAATTAAAACCACTCTGAAGAAGATACTCCACATAACTGTATAATATGTTAATAAGACAACACAGTACATTTAGATGCACATTTCACGTTATAATCTACAGAGATTTTTTGATAACAATACCATTACAACTTTTAATTTTTCCCAGTTAATTATTTCTTGTAGGAATTTCTTACTTTGTCCTCATTAGAGAGGCAGAAATAATGCCAATCTCTCACATACTGATGTTGAGTTACAGTAAATTCAACATGTCTTTTTTTAACCTGCTCTTTTAGAAAATGATAAACAGATTTCGTGCAGGGGCCTATAGAGTTCTGCATTTCCTTACTATAAGCTTAATTTAAACCTTAACATTTTGTCTCAGTGGGTGTTCTGGTTGACTGGATGGAAAACTTGTGATTTTTCTCAAACATGATCTGTATGAAGTAATCTCTGGCCTACTCTTGTTTGTGCCAGGTAGGTTTTTGAGGTAGGTTATTACAATTTAATTTTCTAGTGTATTGCCTTAGTTTTTCTGTGTCCTGAGTGCTTTCAAAATGAAAAGTCCCCTTCCTCACTAACTTCACCATCAAACCTCAGACACCCATCTTGTTTCTGCGTGTCATCACCAATAATCACAAGCCTCAGGAGTATCTGAATCATCTGATTGATGCAGCAATTTTTATTTTCACAAGATTAATTTTCAGTCATGCTGCCATCACCATTTCAGCACTCTGCAGACCTGGGGCAATGCCCTCTGAGGAAGGACCTCGCTGGGAACATGTAGACGGGAAAGTGGAATAGGCCCATTTTACTGCCTACAACCACCTAGACAGGCTGACTGCAACTCTGTAGTGTATCAGATAAAACTAACCCAGAAAACATAGCACTGTTACAAAGTGAACACTTATTTTAAAGATGCAATCAACTGCGCTGCGTAGCAGTGACAGAACAGCTGAACATGACTGCATGGCAGGCGTCAATATCCTCTAACAGCACAGCCTGGCACACGGCTGTTACCTGCCCAAGTGCCATCACAAAGGCAACACACCTTCACAAAGCTACCAGGGCAGGCTCCTGCATGCCTGTCCATTTCAGCCAGTGAAATGATTTAATTACTTACTCTTCAAAGACCTGGTCACTTGTGACACGCAGTATGAACATGATGACAGCAGATCTCCCTCCCCCTTCTCTCCACAGTCCTCTCCAACCTTCATCACACAGCCCATGAACTTGCAAATTGTCCCTGCTTGCTCTTTCACTGCCTTTTGGGCATAACTTGTTAAGACCTTGCCATCATAGGGTCATAAAAGCAGCTGCTTTGTGTGCTGCTATATCCCCTTCACATTTCAGACACTGCTCTGAATCACTGCTGCTCCACCTGCATTATAGCACATAAAAATCACCACTGCAGGAGAAGACCTGGCTCCAGGCTCCGAAGTCTGTGTAATACAGATAAGGCCCCTAAGTCTCAGTGTCGCACAACACTTTTTTTGCTCTTTTTTATGTAAGAAATTTTCACTTAAAAGTCACAGGATCTTGACATTGGCAAGACTGCCATGGCACAGAAAGCAAACAGCTGCATTGACAGAAGATCCCCAAATAAAAAGGCTTTGCAGAAATCAATACACACATTCATAGAATTAAACAAACTTTTTTTGTGACTCATTAGAATTAAGGAATGTCTTTAAAATACGCTTTGAAAAGATAGCAGTAACAGGTTGGGATGCAAAATAAGATGAATGCTTTAACAAGAGGCTTTATGTTAATTGAAGTCTTCTGCCAAGATATTCTATGGTTCACAAGCAGCCAAAAATGTGAACTGACACAGACTGCAGTGGGGCTGTTCTATGTAAGACCGTTGCTCAGTATTGTATGCTTTGGCAGCACTGCCTAAAATATAATGGAATTATGTACAGATTGAAAAAGAAATGCTGACTAATGCTGCTGCACTTGATCTGTTCTGTGAGTGAAAAGCCAGACTGTTTTTCCAAGCACTTCCTGGGCTTCAGAAAATGAAATGTAATTTTAAAGTTGACATTAACAGAGAAATACTGACCTATTATAAAATAGTGAAGAGAGTATATGGCTGTTATAAATTTGATCATTTTGAATTAGAAACACAATTAATCCAAGCTACCAGCAATTTGGAAGTCATTTGGCAGCTGAAAGTTCTGAATATACTTTGATAATGTAAAGGTAGTGGTTCTAAATTTCCTTTTTGTTTCAAGACAACTTTTATGTTCATTCTGATGCATGTTCTTTTTAAGCAAATAGTAATGGAAAACTGTAAACCCCATATTTTTGCTGGTTGTAAGAGAGATGTCATAGTTTGCTCTTCTTGCCAGCCAAAGCATCTAAGCACAAACTCAATATATAAATACAGTTAGTGAGATCCTACGTGACTTCAGAGAACTTGAAGCTACGCTGATGGACAGATGGATTCTATGTTTGTGAAAGACACACAGCCCACATATGCTCAGGAGAGCTGCCCACACATGCATTTTTGAAAGCAAATCTTGGTACCTATCACGTCCTAAGGCTGATTGCTCAGATTCACAATTCTAGGGCAACCCTCACCATGACAGCTGTGATCAGTCTTTGCAGTCACCAGGTCTCCCTGACTAGGGATTCTTAGCAGGGCTCACCTGGAGCAATGAATGCTGGAAGAACTGGACTCTCTAGAGTTCTCTAAATCCTCCCAAGTGTGCCTGAAGGGCTATCCTAGAAAAGTGTACTCTGAAATCCCAGAGCCTTTACACAAGGCTGAAGATTTCCCTAAGGCCTGGTGAGCTTACATGATGAAGGTATTCGGAACAACAAACCTCAGGGATTCCCAGCTGTGCTGTTTAGGTTTCATTTACGGCAGCCAGAGGCCTTGAAATTTTTTGGAGAACAGAACTGTATCTTTTACAAGAAGGAAGTGTCTGGGGGAAAGAAGTCAGACCACCCTTACCTCCACAGTCTCTGGAGGTAATGCCAATTTTCTTTGGTTATATTAATTGGGAGAATTGGGAAAAGACTTGGAAAATGTATGGGGGTTTTTGGTTGGATTTTTGGGTTTTTTTAAGAAAAACACATCCAGAGATCAGAGAAGAATTATCTCTGTGACCTTGTACACTTTTCTACTTGGAAGACTAATGGATAGCTGGATAGTACCTGATTTTATTATGAAAGGAGTCTTTAGGGCATTTCCAACCATGACCTGACATGATAGAAGATATGCAGTGAAAAGACTGTCTAGTAGAGGCACTTCTACAGGTAGGAAAGAGATAGAGAGTCCAGGCACAGCCTGATTATTAATGTGCCAAAGCAGCAACATTGCTGCAAACTGACAGAGCTCATGTCAGAGCTACACTTTCAGCAGCAAGAAAGCTGACATCTCAACAAAACAGAGGGGACACTGCCAGCCTGCACACAGGTATTGGGGAAAAACTGCTAAGAGAAACCAGCCAAAGACAGGGAGCAGATCTAAAAGCAAGAGCGTTTTAGGCAGTCAGGTTGGGGACAAGTTGCTTGACCAAAGCAATCTTTAGGTCCCTGGGAGGAAACAAGGATCTCGAAGGCAATAATCCTGTCATCTGCAGGTGGGTCAGTCTTCCCACTGGCTGAAAAGGAAGCCATGGAGGATCAGGCTTAATTAAAACAGATGTCTAACTTCCAGATGCCTGCATTTAGCTGAAATAATTCCAGTCAGAGCAGATTTCACTATTTTAGCTGGATATTCTTTGCTATATTTTGTTTGTCTCTTTGCTCTAACTGTGTTTTTCCTATCTCTTCACACCAGTCAGATTTAACACCTGCCTCTTAGATCCTCACCTATCCATTCCATGCTGTTATCATTTATTGCCACTTACAAGGAAATTATAAACATTATGCAGCTCTTCCACCTCATTAATCAAGGATTTTAATTAAAAAGTTGAGGGTAAGACTTTCAAATACTTGCTGCATTGTTTATACCCACATATTGGAGCAGTAAAAGAGAAATAACAGCATGGATATTTTGAAACAGCCTGAGATGACAAAGGAAAATTTTATAAATGTCTATGGTTTTAATAGGATGAAATAGATAAATTCAGGGCAGGAATCCCACAGACCACATAGGGCCCTGGGAATGACAGACACCATGGAGAGGTTTTGTAAAGCATTGTGAATTATTATACATGCAAGCTGATCAATTGCAACCATTTGACTGAAGTCCAGTTTGCCTGAAGCAAGAAAGGAACCAAAATTGATCAGATAAAATGAATTCAGATAAATGAAATGAATTTGTGAGCTAAACATTTTTTTTTGTAGCAAAATTTTCTGAACATTAATAAAAAAAGCTGTTTCTTCTGAAATAAACCCCACATATCATA